ACCTCGAGAATAATATACATGTGGCGCATGATCCAAGAGAAGTGGTCAATGAGGTACAAGATCTAGTTTTAATGGAAGATGAAATTGGAACAGTGATGGACTATGAAAGTTTATACCCATCTATAAAAATTGAATCATGCAGAGTAGCACTTTTAGACTTCATGCTGAGCAAGAGCCCAAATTTGGCTCTTGGGTTACATTAATGATTTGATCGAACTAGGTAACCTTATTTGTTATCAATCTTTTTTCGCATTTAATGGCCGTCGATACAGACAAAGAAGAGGAGTCCCTATGGGAAGTCCCATGTCAGGACTTTTATGTGAGCTTGTATTGAGAAGGTTGGAAAAAAGTGCTCTTTCTGTTTTCTTAAATGCCATTGTGTATTTTAAAAGATACGTGGACGATGTCTTGGTAATTTGGAAGAATGACCAAAAGATTGATGAGTTTATCAACATGATAAACAGCAACAATGATGGTCTCATGTTGAAGATTGAACAAAAATGTGCTTCACGGATACATTTTTTAGATATTGACATTGAATTTAAAGAAGGGCGTTTGACAACTAATGTATACGTAAAACCGACGCATAGCCCTCTGTACATTCCGTCCCATTCTAATGATCCCTACCAGTACAAAATGGCTGCCTTCCGTGCCCTTATCCAAAGGGCTTTTCTCTATTGCAGTAATGTCTTGGATAGGCAAACAGAAATTAATAGAATATTGCATATTGCCAGATCTCTAGGGTACAAAGAAGGTATGATAACAACATTGGTCAGAAAATACAAAACAAATAAAACTAAAACGCAAAACGACGGTTTCGGCAAAATCACGAAGTTCACGTATGATAGAAAGAGAAAAGCCATCATGAAAGAAATCTCAGCCCGCAAAGAGTCCAGGTTAATTTTCAAGAGAGCTCCTAATCTGTACAGATTATTAAGGAATGACAAAGACAGCATAGATAAAGAAAAAAGAGCAGGTGTATACAAGATTCCATATGAAAATCGTGAACTAGACATTAATAAAAATTATATTGGTGTCACTAACAGAAATTTAGGAGTCAGATTAAAAGAACACAAGTACAATATCAGTAAGGGATCTAACGCCACAATACTATCGCAAATGGCGCAAGTTGAGGGCTCAATCGTCAAATGGGACGAAGCAAGTATTATTAAACCAGTACATTCACCAACTTTGGCGATTTGCGCAGAAAAGATTGAAATATACAGGAGCAGATTACATGATAAATGCATTAATTCTAGGGATGCTGAAGGGTTGCCTTCCGCCTGGAAATACTTAATCAAGCGAATGGACAGATCTTAATGCCTTGTTTTTAGTGTTTTTTTGCATATCTTGCGGTTTATAGAATTTAGCATAATGTATTATTGTGTTACGTTTTTTAATGTTTAATTATCCTATGCTTATTTATCATATACATATTTTATAATAGGAGTTTTTATTTTATTTATTTTATTTATACATTTATTTATATATATATATATATATTTCGTTCGTTATTTTGTTTTTTGTATTTAAAATTTTTGTTCTATTTTCTTTGTATACGAAAAAGCTTAGCCTGACGATGGCCAATAGAGTTGGCTGAAAACGTTAGCTTTTCATTAAAAGTTTTCTCAGCAAATTAAGGTGTCATGTTTTTTTGAGTCATTATAATATTTCTAGAATAATTTTAATTTTATCTTAAAAAAATATACATATTTAAAAAATTCAATAAGATAATTTATTTAACATCATCTTTTATTAATGTATTCATCTAAACATAACATTCTTGGAATAATTTTAATTCTAAGTTATAGTGATTGTTAAAAAGAAAACAAGTACTTGTTAGTAAGTTTGATTTCTTTTTTATTTTTATTTTTAACTCTTTCTGCTCTATAGGCACACAGAGGGTCTTTTTTCCCATATCCATGTAGGCCTATGAAATTACCTATCCAATGGCATTAAATATAATTTGCTTAAGCATAATACGATTTTTTAAAATACAATACAGGAGACAAAATACAAAAATAATTTTTTTTTTAGTTTGAAGTTTTCTGAACATCACAATCAACAGAACCAGGGTTCCTACTCAAATTTTTCTTTTAAATTTCATGACTTCCCCCTGACCAACAGTTAATATTTTTTTTATAACTGCCAAATTATTAAGACTAAAAATAAATTGTTTTATTAAATTAAAATTTCAACAAATTCCCTGACTTTCCATGACTTTTTCCAAACACTAATGAAAATCCCAGATTTTCCCAACTTTCCAGGTAAGTAGGAACCCTGCAGAACATACAAATTTCAGATCCCTTGGTAGTATAGCTATTTTTTTATATGTATGATTATTATCTAAGAAATGTACATTCATCATCATTCACTGACAGTGATTTAACACGTATTGAAAACTAACTTTGCTTAGAACTATATGACAACTTTCAAAATTTTATTTATGAATTTATTATTACATGGTTAGTCATCTAATAACCATTTATTAGAAGAAAATTGACTCCCATCATTTAGATTTGTGGAGTTATCTAACTTCCTTGAAAGAACAACTCAAAAAACAAATTTTATTTAATATTTAAGCAATTTTTAATCAAAATACAGTGGTACCTCAGGATACGAAATTGTTCCGAAACTGAGATTGTATCATGAAAATGTTGTAAGGCAAATCATTTTTCCCCATACGATTACATGTAAAACCAAATAATTTGTTCCAACAAGAAAAACACACTCAAATTAACGCTAAGTAGTACATAAAATAAAATAAAAAAAGCTATAGTAAGGAAAACACTGAAAAATGCATTTTGTAGTTGTAAATGTACAAATAACTGGTGTTCTTTGTCTCCAATACAGAGGACTTTGCAAACGTTTTCGAATGTGGTTCTTCTTCAGGCACTATGGAATTCCCTACATGAATTCAAATTTCCAGTCTAGAATTAACCGTTGTTTTGGAAAATCTTTCTGGAACGTTGTCACGTGTGACCAATGACATCATTGTAGACTTCCACATTATCCGTATGTTGTTACTTTAGAGTTTTATTGAGGAAGGCTTCCAATGCTGTTGATATCTTCATTTCTTGTTTGAAGTTAATGCAGTGCTTATTCCTGAGGTTGTTAAGGCTAATGTATATGGCTTCTAACCATCTGAGGTGTTCTGTGCAGAACGTGGTGTGAATATTTCTGGCTAGAGAGAATAGTGGCTCTATTTCTGAGTCGGAGGAGTATACTGCTAAGATGGTGTTGTTTCTATGATGTAGGGTGTCCGCGTTGTGTTCCTTGATCCTAGTTACTAAGTTGCGTTTAGTGGACCAGATGTAGATTACTTCTCTGTTGTCTCTATGATCTACTCCGATGTTAAAATTTATTTATAGTATTTATCTACTCCGGTGTTTAAATTTCTTTATAGTATAAATAACCATAATAGAATAATAATTGATTAAAAAAAAATGTAGTTTTATTTGCACTTTAGCTTCGAGGATAGACGATGGTGGAGGTGTAAACTGGTGGGAAAGAGAGGCAGAAGGGAAATGATACTAAAACTTAACTTACATAACATAATGTAACAATAACTTAAAAATAACTTAGAAAAGATAAAAAAAATTAGTGTTGTTTTATATATATATATTTTTTTTTAATTTTTATTCACTGCTTTTTGCTTTCTTCCCTTCATTTTCACCAGCACTTTCACTGAATAGAGGTCACTTGGTAAAATATCTATCCAAAGAGGTTTGGCTTTGCTTACTTTTTAAAATGTTTCTAAAATGATTTAGGCAAATGTCATTACTCTGAGCAGCAATATGGCCAGTGTGAACCTTTTCGGGATGTTTCTTTTCAATAAAATCAGTCACTTTCTGATAATACCTCAAGATTTCCTTTATCCAGCGAGATCCTTCCACAACGAAGCAAACATGCAGACTGAGACCAATGAACAGAAGTGAATAAAAATGGTGCTGCGAATTAATGTAATGTCGTATGGTGAATTTTTGTTCATATAGTGGAGCAAAATATGTTCGAATTTCATGTCATATCCTGAAAATTTCGTATGCTGGGGCGTTCGTATCCTGAGGTACCACTGCATAATTTTTCACATTTAATTCACGTTCACAGAAAAAAAAAAATACTGTAATCACTAATATCAACACATAATCAGCTTCATATTATGCTTAAAACTAAAATTAGAAATCAAGATCATATTTAAAGAACTTAGTGATCAGATATATATGAAGTGGGATTCAAAAGTTCTGGGACTGGAATCATATACTGTATTTTTGCAGAATGATCAGCATGCTAGTCTATCCGGGGAGATCGTAAAATCAGATATTTCCGTATAGTAAATCCAGCATGCCTATTTATCTTGGGGAAATGCCAGCATGCTGGCATGCCAGTTAATCTTGGGGAAATACCAGCATGCCAGTTTAAGTGAGGTTATACATCCCTCTCAAGAGAGAGTATTAAAAAACAAACAAACATTTATTCTAAAACTGTGAAACTGTCAACATTACATCAAAAACTATGACTATACAGTAGAGCTTCGTTTATCCGAAAGTCGGTTATCCGAAAGAATTCCAGTCAGTAAATTTAAATTTTCGCCAGTGCTGTGGCGCTGCAATCTTTGGCTATGTCTTCGGCTACTCAAATATTTTACATTTTTGATACTAAATTAACTTCTGAAGTATAATTTTTTATTGTTTTTATATTTTTCAATATATTTATTTTGTTTGTACAAAATAAAAAAATAATTTTTAGCGATACAATAGTCTTCCTTAGGCTTAACATCGACGAAAATTCAACGCAAAGCAACACGCAACAGAGAAAAATTTCAAAATGGGATAGGTTAATATATTTTTTCGTACATAATCGGTTATCCGAAATATCAATTTTCCGAACAACCCTAGTCCCCAATTGATTCGGATAATCGATGCTCTACTGTATCAATATTTTAAAAATTTGCTATTATTTATGGCAAATTAAAAATTAAAAATATCATCATGAAAACTTACCACCATATGGACCAGGAGGTTGATGATACGCATTAGGTGGTGGTGCTGGTCCACTCGTATAAGGTGGTGGTGGTTCTGGATAAGTAGTTCCAGCAGGTGGTTTTTGTTGATCCATACTTTTTCTTTTGTAAACAAGAAAACAAACTTTTATAAATTATTTCCTAGTTTAAAAATTTTATGTTTATTACAAATGATGATGATGATGATGATAAATTCAGATATGGCTTTATATAATATTCATATTGTTTTTATCTATGTGATTTTTTAAATTTTATACAGTTTGTACATGAATTGATAAACTGGATTTATATCAAGTTTAAAATTTTTTTCTACTTAGTTTCTTTGATATTAACCTAGAATAATTCTTATAGATGATGTGATCAATAGGTTTTTCAAGAATTACCTTTTCTTTTCTTTCTTCTTTTTACAAAAATGAAAAGTGTTAGCAGGTAGATGTTGCACCCTATCAATAGTCTAGATCAGAGGTCGGCAGTTTGTCAAGTGAGAAGAGCCAAATTGTCATGAAAACAGGATAACAAAAGTACCAGAGAGCCGCATATTAATTTAAATGTGCAAAATACGACACACAACAGGGACGCCTCTAGTAGACATTTTTGGCATAACGTTACACGGATGGACGGACACACGTTCAATGTGTTATATATATAGATATGCTTCAAATGCTACCACTCTTATGCAACTCATATTGATCAGTGTGGTCATGTGTGGACAGCATACGAGTTGACGTTTGTTCGGCAGCTCTATCTCATAAACTCATAAGTTATAAGGCTGTGGTGAAATGAGGAGAGGTGAAATTGGAGTTTATGTCCAAAGAGCCGCATGTGGCTCGCGAGCCGATAATTCCAACCCCTGGTCTAGACCAGGAGTGGTGAAGCTGTGACATGTCAGAGAAATCATCTAACACATAATGTATTAACACATAATGTATAATTTTTATTTATCATCTGTCTTTTTCAATTATCCTTTCAGTTTATCACCTGATCATCCTTTTATCAATCTGCTTCTTTACATTTATTCAACTAAAGCAAAACATTTATTCTAATTAAAGCATATTTCATTCCTTTGAATATTATCATTCAAAGTCTAAAACTTCAGCATGCATAAACATTTGTAAAGATAAACATGCTTACTATACATAGTAAGTATACTTATGTTACACAGACTCAAACAGGTTCACCTTCCCTGGTCTAGACATTAGGGTGTTTGTGTACTAGATGTTGTCTTAGTGGCTCATAGACAGTTATAGAGTGGCAGGAAGAAAGGAGGCTATCTATGGTGACAGTGTTGCATTCCAAAATGTCAGACCTACAGGAATATCATGTGGCAATCATGTATTGTATGAAATTAAGGAAAATGTCCACATAACTCCACAAACTGTCACCACATAAAGCCTCTCTTCTTCCTGTCACTATAACTGTCTATGAGCCACTAAGACAACATCTAGTACACAAACACTCTAAATTCAATAGCAACTGATGTAAAAGAAAGATGAGATGAGATGTTAAGCTCATTTGTAATAACATTAAGTTTCATATGCATGACCTCCTGAATCAGGCCTATATTGCAAATAACATTGTCATTCATAGTGGCTATACATTTGGCAACCTGTAAGGCTCCAGAAATATCCTGCAACCACATTAAATTCATTAATATTTTAAAATATAATTTTTATTTCCATAAAAGGAAAAATGAATAATAATAGTGGAAAAAAAAACCTTCTCTCAGAAATAAAACAAAGAAAAACTAGACAATGTAAGTCCTAAGACCAATTATCTCCAGTTAAGATCAAATTAAATGTCTATTTTAACACATCCTGCAATCTAAGTTGAGATCTCATTACACTTAGTAATGACCACTTAGAATGAGAAAAGGTGACCAATTGGAATGGACAATCAGACAGAAAATGATAAAAACTCAAAATTTCAACTCAAAAAAGGATAAGAGAGCTTCTCTCTCTGACATCATCTTTGACCCTAACTGGATTGACCTCACTTTCTCAAAAGAATTAAACATGACCTGGAAACAAAACAAGAAACTGAAGGATCCTTCTGTCTTCTTTCTTTTTAAAAAGAAGAACCAGATTTATAGTCTTCACCTGCAGAGACATCTAAGAATATTATTGCTACAGGCTTTTTTGTGTTTAAAATAAATTGGGACAATTTTTTTTTTGGTGACTGTTGAGTCTGACTTGGTGTATCACACCCACATATGAATCAACACCTCTCTTCTGTTCTGACTAGAGAGCAAACTCAGCAATCTCACAAACCTAATAGCTGTAAATCTGTAACCTATGTCCTGCTATTATCAAAGGCATTACACCAAATCAAATCTGCTTCTTCAAAGTCAGCTCCTTAACTGATTCTATACAGTAAACCCCCTATAATTATGATTCCTATAAAACTGCGAAAAAATTGTGACGGTATCTGTAAAAAAAATTAAAAAAACTTCTTTAATTACGTGAAACGTCATCGGGCAGCAGAACTATTTTCCACCGTCAAGTGCCACGCTACGGAGAGTTTGCTATCGTCTGTACAGTATTATATATAAATTACTATATATATAAAAATGAATGTATGTCTGTCTGTGTGTCTGTGTGTCCTATGTCCTTCATGCATTACCACACCGTTTATCCGATTGCCATGAAACTTTGGGAAGTTGTTTAATATACTCCGGCGAAGGTTTGTGGCATAGTACGATTGCCATGAAACTTCGGGAAGTTTTTTAATACACTCCCGCGAAGTACATTTATCCTACGATAGATGGCGCGCGTTTACACGAGCATTCGCGCATAGTGTGTTTGATCGATTTCAAATTGTGAAGACCATTTCCCCCCTTCAAAAATATATATGTCTCTATATATGCATTTGTGAACTGTTATTTACGATATTTGTAATCATTTTTGTTTAATCACTTTATTTCGACTTTTTTTGCTAATTATGTTTTCGCTCGAACTTCGTTAAAATCTTAACTGTACCCCGAACAACGACCGAAGTTGTAGGA